TATTATTTAAAAATAATAATTATTATATAAAATTAGCAAATGACAATATTAACCTTTTCATTTAAAAAATAAATTAAAACAAACAAAATTCATTGATTGGTTGAGAGGGAGGTCGCATGGGTTGTATAAATAGGGAGAGTTGTAAAAGAAATATACCCTATATATATATATATATATATATATCGGGTTTTCAAACAGGTGAACCGACCAAAAATCAAACCCAACCCAAATCCAAATATTCCCCCAAAAATAGAATTTCAAATTATCGGATTTCGAGACTTTAGGTTTTATACACCCTAGAGTTATAAAAAAACCCGAATGGTTAGAAATCTGAAGCTGAACCGAAAATAAGGTGTTTATGCAGAACCTGAATGCCCTGAAATCTGGAAACCCGGAATCCCGAAAACCAACTTTTGGGGGAAAATTTGGGTTCGGTGGGTTTTGATTTTTGGCCACCTGATCCATCCGGAAACCCGAAATGTATATACATATATAATTTAAATATTATATAAATACATTTACCTATCTAATTATATTTTGAAAATTCTAAAAATCATAGTCAGTCGTGTTCTTTTATAATTTCTAAGCATATTATCGATTTATAAATCATCTAAATCGACTGATTTCATCCTCAAAATCAAATGAATACATATATCAACTAAACCCGAACCCAACCGACCTCAACCCTCAACCCGACTAACCCGAAATCGAAAACCCAAAAATCAAGTCTTGATTTTTATATCCGAAATCCGATCACATTTTTGATTTATCCATCTAAACCTGTCTGACCCGCCTGATGCACACCCTAAACAAAATGTGGGGCCGTTTACCAAACACTTATCCGGTAACACTACCATCTACTTACCAGGTAAGACTTTAGTTCACCAAAACGACATCGTACATTTTACCTAGTAAGCGATTACCATGGTATGAGTCGTCGCCCTCACTTACCGGGTAAGATTCTCGGTCCTTGTCTCCCTCTTATCGGGTAAGATTATTGATTCTTATCATATTCATCCCGTAAGGTAATGTGACTTAGTAAGTGCTTACCTGGGTAAGCGTTTGGTAAACGGCCCCTAATCTATACTATATTATAAAACATTTGACAAAAATTCTTAAAAACTATTTTTTATGCATGAAGTACTGTACATTGATGCATATTACTTAAAATTTCAGATTACAAGTAAATTATGCACAATTACAACTTATTAAAGCTCCATGTTTGAATTCGTGTAACTAATTGCGGATAAACATAATCAAATAGAGGATAAACATCTAATTTTAAAATATAAAAATTCTAAAATATAATTAAGATAATTATCAAGTTCTAACAAAATAATTAATTATTTTCTTTTAGGAAAATTATATTATTAAACCAAATATAAATTATTTCGT